GACTTGGGGCAATCGTCTTGCAGATGCACTGCGCTGGAGAACTGTGTTGCGCTGGATTGCAAGTCATGCATCGCACGCGAGACTTAAATCCAGCAGTACGTCCGCGCCCCGGAATGTACTGCACGCCCCCAAATGTGTGGCAACCCCACAAATCTATTGCACCACATCTGTCGCCCCCCCCCCCCCTTATCGCTGGACCCCCTCCTGGGCCAACCCGAACCTCCTCCGTGCCGACTGCCCCCTGCGAGGCGGGGGTGGCTGCTGGGCCTTGAGGACCGCCCCCCTTCTCCTCCTGCCTCGCCCTCGCCCTCGGCCTCCCCCCGGAGAGATCCCCTGCGCTGCCACTCTTTCGCCACGACGGGCGCGTCCGCCCGGCGTCTATTCGGGCCCCGGGGGGCCCTCACAGATCGGTCCGGCTCGAGCAATTGATGGGCCTGTTTTCCACCACCACCACCAGAAGTTGGAGGGGGGAAGGAGGTGGAGAACGAGGAGGAGGAGGACGACGAGGAGGAGAAGGAGAAGGAGAAGAAGGAGGAGGAGGAGGAGGAGGAGGAGGATGTGGAGGTGGAGGACGAGGAAGAGGAGGAGGACGAGGAGAAGGAGAAGGAGAAGGAGGAGGAGGAGGAGGTGGAGGTGGAGGTGGAGGAGGAGGAGGAAGACCCCTCCCCCTCCAACTTCTGGTGGCGGTGGTGGAAAACAGGCCCATCAGGAATGGCGCAGAAAGCCGGGGGTCCGGGGCGCCCGTCGTGCTCTTGCGCGACGTCTCCAGTTTTTTTTTGTTCGAGACGTCGGGCCGCAGGGCCGACCCGCTCCCCGGGAGCAGCTGTTCCAATCCCGAGTCGGCTAGTCACGGTCCCGCGTCCCGGGAAGGGCCCCCCACAGGCTGGAGATCACGAAAGAACTTCCGTCGTGGTCGTTCCTCGGCTCGGCCTCCTGAGTCGTCTGGTAACGAGCCTGAGTCCCAGGTAGGGCCCCAGGAGGCTGAAGATAACGAAGGAGCTTCCGTCGCAAATGAATCAGAACGAAAGGTTGTTGGCGAATTTCGGCCTCGGGGGGCCCTCGCCGGGCCTCGGGACCCTCAAGACACGACTTCATGGATGAAAAGACGGCCCTGGAGAACTGATCGGGACTTCCGGGGACCCCGTATCGAAAAAATCTGGAAGTCGCATGTCTGGGATCGTTTATCGACTCGAGCGGGTCTGGGCCTTAGTGGGCCCCAGAAACGGCAGGGCCGTGTTTTTCCACCGTTTCCCCAAAAATGTCCCTTGAAAATGGAAACGGCAAAAAAACGGCGACCGGAAACGGCAACAAAAACGGCTCCAGGAGTGGAACCGGAGCGGGAACCCGTAAAAGAACGGCGACGGAATCGGAAAAAAAACGGCGTCGGAACCGGCAACACAAACGGCAAAACGGAACCGGAAAAAAACGGCCCTGTCGTTTGCAGGGCCCACTGAGGTCTGGGCAGAGAGGGGGGCTTCTGCTCAGCGTCGGCGGGGGCCTCTGCGAAACGCGCCAGGGTCTGCGGATGGCGTGCTCGGGCCAGCTCCCCAGGGGGGCGATGGGGCCAGGAGGGGCTCGGGGCGCTGGCTTCGGGTCGTGCCTGCAGGGGCCCTGGGACACACGAAAAGACAGACACAAACCCCAGGAGCCCCCATAGATTCACATATTTTTGGGGGTTCTGCCGTCCCCCCCCCACCTCCCATACTGGCGCATCTTGTTCTGGGAATCGACGATTCATCGTGACTGTGTTCTGTTTTCCCTCCTGGGTCCCCCTTCCTCCCGAGAGGAGGCGGTTGGGAAGCAGCTGTGGGATCAACGCGAGGGGACAAAAGGAATCTCCCGAGGGCCACACTGCCAAATGGATGTGTAAGCGTGGGTCGCGAGGCGCAGGACGCAAGGGTACCCTCGCTTTGGCAGGGTCGACCTACTAATCAGCCTCGACCTTAGTGGACCCTGGAAACGACAGGGCCGTTTTTTTATTGGTTCCGTTTTGTAGTTTTTTTACCGGTTCCGACGCCGTTTTTGTTACCGGTTCTGTCACCGTTGTTTGACTGGTTCCGGCTCCGGCTCCAATCCCGGAGCCGTTGTTTTCCCGTTTCTGGTCGCCATTTTTTTGCCGTTTCCATTTTCAAGGGAACTTTTGTTTTGGAAACGGTGAAAAAACGGCCCTGCCGTTTCCGCGGCCCACAAAGGCCTCGACTGCATAGGGACGCAAGGCCACCGGAGGCCGAAGCTGGGATATCCTTTGGGCGGCGGGCGACCCGTGAAGGCTGCCAAGGACGAGCCGCCGCGGCGAAGCCACGGGGGCAGCCTCCTCGATGCAGGCGCGCGCCCTGACCACGAGACTCGTCGAGAGTACAGTCGGGGCGTTGACCTAAGGAACCCTAAATAAGGAACGAGGCCCCTGTTTTTCCATAACTAAAGCTCCGATTCCCCATCGAAAACCTCAGGACAACCTAAGGCAAGCTGCGAAACAATTAAGGAACACGGAGTCCCTCCCCAACGAAAAGGGTGCCTTGTTCAGCGCCCCGACTGTAGATCGACGGGTTTTGCTTTCAGCGCATTGCGCGGTCGGCGCTGATTACTTCAATGCGAGCATGGAGTGCTTGGCCCGGACGCAGGGGTGTCCGAAGTCCAGCAGTGCCCCAGCAGCGTTGAGGAGCGTGTCTTCTGACGAGTGCCCAAACTACCGGGCGCCTCGATGCTCAACGGCGCCGCAATCTACCCTTGACGAGGCTGGCAAGCGCATCGATTGAGCAGGGACCGGCAGTCCAGGCATCCCGACGGGCCCGCCACGACATGCTCTTCGAACCCCAACAATGTTTCAAGCACCAGAGCGGTGTTCTTGGAACATACACCCGACGTGCTGGCACAACACAGTCTCGGCCAGAACTGCTCTAAGAACAGGCCGCGCAGACCGCAGCAGGGTCCTAGAACATTCTTTGGGGCGGGCCTGCAGGCAAGCCAGGACGCTTCGCCACTGCTCAAACTAAAACGTCTCGTGAACGGCCGCTGCCGCCGCCGCCGGCTCTCTCACGGGCCCCCGGTGGCCCCGCACTGGCTGCGCGCCGCCTGCCGCTCAGTCCCCGCTCGGCCAAGCCCCGGGCGCGCTGCCGCGGCCAGCGCGGCGGCGCGGCCGGGCCCCTCGCACCGCCAGCGCGCGCCCCGGCAGCCGTCCTCTGGACGGAGGAGCGGCCCCAGGCCCGCCCAGAAAGCTCGCACACGATACCCCAAAATAGCCCTGGGGGGTGAGCGAGGGCCCTGGTCGCGGGTCTGGTATACTGACCTCCCTCCCTGGGACGCGGTGGCGGTGTGCGGAGCGTGGCCCCGTGGGGCAGCGTCTGACTGGGGTGGGGAGGGTGTGGTATGCAAAAGAACTGCCCGAGGACCAGGCAGGCAAGAGTTCGGCGGCGAGCGAAGGGAAGGGAAGGGAGAAGGACAAGGCCTTCTCAGAAGGCGGCGGGGCTTCTGAGAAGGCCTCCGGATTCTCCTGAGAGGCTGCCCGCGTCTCCGGGGAAGGCCCAGCAGACTTCTCAGAAGGCCCGGGGGGCTTCCGAGCCTTCCGAGCAGGCACGCGTCCCTGCTCACCTCTCCCCCCATCGGGCGGCTCGCCGCCGAACAGAGCGGCCCCGGGCAAGAGAGGTGACCTTTTGCGCGCGGCTCGCGGGGGGCGCGGGAGGCCAAGCCCGAGCGCGCCAGCCCCTGCCATCGCGCCGCGCCCAGCCCTCCGGGGGCCCCACTGCTCCCTGGCAAGGGGCCCGCGGAGGCAGCGGGGGTCCCCCGAGGGCCGTGCCCGCCGGGGGCCCCGCCGTCCCCGCGCGACCCTCTCCTCGGCCCCGCGGGGGACCCCACAGAGGAGGAGGCGGGGGAGGAGGAGGAGAAGGAGGAGGAGGAGGAGGAGGAGAAGGAGGAGGATGCGGGGGAGGAGGAGGAGGAGGAGGAGGAGGAGGAGGAGGAGGAGGAGGAGGAGGAGGAGGAGGAGGAGGAGGAGGAGACACTCCCTGGCGAAAGAGCACTCCTGCGTGTAGTTGGCCGAGTCCTCGAGCTCCGCGCCCCCAGGCTGCAGCATGTCTGCCGGCGGCCCCTGGAAGGCCGCCCACGCGCGCGTGAGGCTCCCAGAGGGTCGCAGCTTCCGAGGTCGAGCCTCCATCCTGGATCTTGGATGGAAGCAAACAGACATGCAGGATGAGGGGGTGAAGCACGCCTCGCCTAAACTTTGAAGGGTTGCTGGTCCTCTTTTGAGGGGGCCCAGGGACACACACACATAAATACACACACATCCCAGGATTCCCCATATGTTGTAATCTTTTGTTGAGGTTCGTCTTCCCCTCCCCACTTCCTATAGTCTTCCAAACTGCCCTGGGAGTCAACGATCTATTGTGTCTGTGTGTTGTTTCCACTCCTGACTCTTGCCTTACTATACCCAAGCTCGAGAGATCCACGTGCCTCCACGCCGGCGGCCGCGGGTCCCTCGGCGGGTGCTGGCTCGTCCCGCGGAGAGCTGCCGCCTCTCGTGATCAGAGCTCCCTGGCCTTCGCGTGGTCGCAACATGTGAGCCTGGCACTGCCAATCACGCGGCGGGTGGGTCCGTGCTCAGAGGGCAGAACAACTCCCCCCCCCCCTAACAATCACCCCGACAAGCAAAGGCGCTTCGTACACGCACCCAGGGAAGGAATCGAACGGAGCAAGGCTTTCATGGTAAACGCCCAGGGCCGTTGAGCAAACGCCAGTCGTCCGGTCTGGGGTGTTTTTTCCTCCCCTGAGTGCTCTCGACCCCTGCCGCCCGTGGGCCACGGCGGCATCGTCTGCGAGCCACGACGGGCGAGCGCCGCTCCGCGTGCGCGTCGCAGAAGTGCGCGGGCACCCGAGGCCAAGCAGGCCAGGCCAGACAGAGCAGACAGCCCGACCAGACGCACAGCACGGACCAGGGCCAGGCAGACCGAACCAAACGGACCCAGGAAGGCCCGGCGAGACCCCGAAGGGCTCAACGCAAGCAGTACTTACTCCACTCCGCCCAGCCGCGTCCACGCGAAGCGCTGCGCATGTATCTCGTGCTGGATCAGTTCCCTCAGCCTCCGCTCGTACTCCTGTCTGTCGTAGAGGTGCTGAAGGAGCTCTGCGGCCCTCTGCCCGCACGCCTGGTTCGAGGGAACGGCAGCGGTGACCATGACCAAGACTGAACGCGGTAACGTTTGTGTCGATCTTGGCTAATGTCCACCTCGTCATGTCGTGGATCATCCCCGAGAATCGGCGACGGCCAGCATCCAGCATGGACCATGACCAAGATCTGCATCGACAAGATACCGCGGCATCTTGGACATGGTGATTATAGGAACAACAAATATTCACACAAACAAGCGGAGTTCCGCGCGCATTTTCTGGATCGGCGCTAGACCCCCCTCCCTGGCGCGCGGAGAGCGTTAGACGCGATTGCAGAGGCGCCGCCAGTGGCGCCGGCGCCGATCCAAGAAGTCCGCGCGAAGCTTTCGAAGTTCATGTCTATGCAGCTCGTTTCGCCCTCGACATGGTCATGGTTCTCCTTCGCCTGCACTCAACGAGTGACCCTGGGTAAGAGTGACCTTTGGGGTGCAGCTTTTGGGGGGCCGCGGGGGGGGGGAGGGGGGCAAACACACAAGCGCGCAAGACGCCACTGCACCCTCGCGTTTGGCGATCGGGGTACCCCAATGGGCCTGCACTCAAAGTCACTCCGGCGAAGGGTCGACCCAACAGGGGGTCCAGCTGGGGGGTGGTGCAATAAGTTTTTGGCCATTTGGGTTGCAAATGTATTGCGCCAGAGAACTCTACAGCACTGTATTGGAACAAGCGCACTGCACCCGAAAACACATCAATACATCAGCGCACCAGAGTGTATTGCACGCCCCCAATCTATTGCAACCCCACGAATCTCTTGCACCACCCTCTTTTAGCTGGACCCCCCTTTTTGGGTCCACCATATTCCTTCTGCTACACACAAGAGTGACCCTGGGTAAGAGTGACCTTCAGTGCGCAGCTTTTTGGGGGCCGCCCGGGGACCAACCACAAGCGCGCAAGACGCTACCACCGCATCGCGTTCGGCGATCGGGAGACCCCGTTTGGCCCGCACCTCAAGGTCGCTCCGGCGAAAGGCCACTCTTACGTCTGGTCGATTCCTTCCCTCGACTGATCCGCAACGGCCGCCGCCTCGGCCGGCGCGCTGTGTGGCCGCCCGCCGCGAGGCCGACCCTGCTGCGGCGGCTGCCGCGCGGCAGCCTGCCGCCATCCGCCCGCGTGCTCCACGGGCACGCGCCGCAGCCCCTCCCCCGGGCGCTCGCCGTGGCAAGCGCTAGCGCGCAGCTGCCGCGGAAGCAGCCGCTCGTCGGACGCCCCCGCGCCGTGCCCGCCCGCGGCCAGCTCAGCGCGCGCCCGCTCCAGCGCCGCCTCGGCGGCCTCGTGGGGCGAGAGCGATGTCATGATAGGATTGGCACAGGATGCCCTGAGATCCTGGCGCTGCATTTGTTTTTTCAATCGGCGTTTTCGCCCGGCTTCACGCCCCGGGGCCCTCACAGATCGATCCAGATCGGAACATGACGCGGAAAGATGGGGTCCAGGGATCCGCTTGTGCTTCCCCACGACGTTACACATGTCTTCGAGACCTCGGATCTCAGGGTGCGCTCCACGATCCCCAGAGGCACCTGGCGGCCCTCGTCTCTGCAGCCCGTGCGGAACGTCAGGCAGTCCTGAGTCCCCTGGAAGTCCTCGAACGCACCTAATTATCATCCCTTCTTGTGACCCTGGTCCTTTTCGCGCCGCACGCTCTCCGCCAGCTCCCGGCCCAGGCGCCCGGCGAGCCTGTGGGCCTCGGCGGCCGCGGCTGCGGCGCCGCGGCCCTCGGCGAGCTCGGCCGCCGCGGCGCGCAGCGCCGCCTCTGCGGCGGCCACCTCGCCGGCGCGCCCGCCGAGCTCGAGGCCCAGCTGCGCGCACCGCTGCTGCGCGGCCTCGTGCCGGGCGCCCGCGAGCGCCAGCCGCTCCTCCAGGCGCTCGTGCTGCAGGGCGTGCCGCTGCGCCTCCGCGGCGCGCCGCCGCAGCTCGGCGGACAGCGCGGAAGAGAGCTCGTCGGCCCTGGCCGCCTCCGCGGCCTCCCGCTGCTGCAGCTCGGCCCTCTGCGCGGCCAGCGCGCGGGACAGCTCCTCGGCCCGCGCCGCCTCGGACGCAAGGCCGCGCTGCAGCTCGGCCTCGCCGCTGCGGCACGCCGCAAGGAGGGCGTCGGAGCGCGCCTGCGCGCGCAAGAGCCTATCCTGATGGACGCCCTCCACGCTCAGGATGGACTCGGACACGAGGGCACGGATGCTCTCCAGCTCCGCGTGCAGCGTCTCGCGGCGCCGCTCGCTGCCGCTCGCCAGAGTGGCCTCGTGGCACGCGGCGGCCTCCTCTGCGCCGAGGCAGCGCCGCAACCGGAGCGCCTCCTCCGAGAGCCTCGCGCGGCTCTCCCGCAGCTCGGCGACCTCAGAGCCTGTGGCCCCCGCCTGTCGGTCCCTCTGGCCCTCCGCCGCGTGCAGCTCCCGGCGCAGAGCTTCGCAGCCGAGCGCGTGCTCCTCCGCCGCGAGCCGCGACGCGCGGGCCGCGGCGTCGGCCGCCTGGGCGGCGCCGACGGCGGAGAGGCGCTCCGCCTCCAGCTCGGCCTGCAGCGCCGCGCGCTGGCGATCCGACTCTCCCGCGCGCTGCAGGGCGAGGGCGGCGCGGGCTGCCTCCACCTCGCACCTCTGAAGGAGCTCCGCGACGCTGGCGCCGCTGGAGCCCACGCGCGAGCAAGCGTCGGCCCCGGCGCCCCGCGCGACCTCGACCACGGCGGCCCGCGCGCTCTCCAACTCCAGCTCGGCGCCCCTCGCGCGCTCCTCGTGCTCCCGCGCGCCGCGGCGGGCCGCCTCAGCGAGCCCCTCCTGCGCTCTTGCGGCGCGCTCCTGCGCGGCCAGGCTGCCCCGCGCCTCCTGCAGCTCCCTCCACAGGACGCCCACCCCGCGCTGCTCTTCCGCGCGCACCTCCGCCTGCCTGGCCCGGTCGGCCTGGGCCTCGGCCTGCCGCAGCTCCTGCCCCAAGGCCCCGCGCTGAGCTTCCGCGCGCGCCTCCGCCTGCCTGGCCCGGTCGGCCTCGGTCTTGGCATGCCGCAGCTCCTGGCCCAAGGCCCCGCGCTGCTCCTGCGCGAGAGCCGCCGCCCGCCTGGCATGGTCGGCCTGGGCCTCGGCCTGCCGCAGCTCCTGGCCCAAGGCCCCACACTGCTCCTGCGCGAGAGCCGCCGCCCGCCTGGCCTGGTCGGCCTGGGTCTCGGCCTGCCGCAATTCCTGGCCCACATTTCCGCGTTGCTCCTGCGCGAGAGCCGCTGCCTGCCTGGCCACGTCCGCCGCGGCCCTGGCCCCCTCCGACGCAGGCGCCGCGAGCGCGGAGGCGCCGCACGGCGGCAGCGAGCCGCCTTGGGCCCCCGCCGCCAGCACCGACTCCGCGAGGGAGGCGCGAGCCCCCTCCAGCTCGTGCCGCAGCAGCTCGCACTGGCCCTCGCGCTGCCTGGCCAGGCGCGCGCAGCACTCCTCCTCGCGCGACTCCTGCGCCAGCCGGCCCTGCAGGTGCTCCTCGGCCGGCTGGCCGGAGCGCGCCGCCTGCGCCGTGGCCCTGGCCTCGAGGTCCGAGGCGCGGACGCGGAGCGCATGCAGCTCATGGGCCCTCTGCGCCGCCTCCGCCCTCGCCCGCTGCGCGGCGGCGCGCTCCCGCTCCAGCTCCCCGCGCAGGGCCCGCAGCGCGGCCTCGTGGCGGACGGGAAGACGTGCAGCATGCGGGCGGGAACTGCTGCTCAGCGTGACGCGGCGGCGTCCCCGCGGCGCGCTGGTCCCTGCAAGCGGCTGGCGTCTCGCTGCGCGCGGCGTGGCGGGAGGCTTGGAAAAGCTCGGGACGTTGGCGCTCGGGGACTGGGACCTGATTAGCGCGTCGCGCCGAGGCGCCGTGGGCCAGAACCGGCGCCGCGACACGTGAAGCAACCGACCCTGACCGCAAACTGCTTCGCCATCATCGGGGACGCCTCCCCCCAGGGCGGCCGGAAAATGCGTAGGAGGACTCATGAAGAACCCTCGCAGAAAAAGCTGGCTGGGGAACAAGCTGCCAATCCCACCCTGGGACAGGCCCTCGCCGACGGCGCACGAAGCCAATTTCTGTCACTCCGCTTCTCGTCCGCGCGAACGCGTGAATGGAGGGCTCCGCAATGGGATCCAAGCAGATGGGGGGGTGGTTCGCGACGCCCCCAGACCCCCTCGCGTTGTGAACAAAAATCACGACGGGAGGTTTCTTTGCAATTTTCGGCCTCGGGGGTTCCTCGCCGGGCCTCGGGACCGTCAGAAAATACTCAGGATGAAAGCCCGGTCCCGGGGAAGGGGTCCAGACCTCTGGAGGTCAACGCTGTGAACAAATCACGACGTCGGGGGTCTGGGCCTCGGCACAACTGGCGTGGAGAAAACCGGGCTTCGTATCGAGCCGCGTCGCCGATGCATCCGCCGTGCGGCCCGATCCTCCGACGCCTCAGACGTGCGACGTCCTGGCTTTTCCATACCGGGCCCCTGGAGGTCCCGGCCCTTTCCTCGGGACCGGCTTTTCACACTGAGCCGCTTGTTGACGGTCCCGAGGCCCAGCGAGGGCCCCCCGAGGCCGAAAGTGGCCAAAAACCTCCCGGGGTGAATTTTGTTGACGACGCGATCATGGCTGGGACCCCTCTGCCCAGACCGCATCTGACAGGTCTGGAGCGAAGGGCCTCGTGGGAGGACGCCCCCTGCTGCAGCTCCTGCCGCCGACGGCGCTCGTCCTTCGAGCAGAGGACCAACTACAGAACTGATTTACCCCAAGATTGACTTGTTCGCCGAACCTACAAACACATGCACACAATCTTCGCAGATCTGCGAATATAACGAGTCGTGCTTCGCAGGTTCGACGAGCCATTCAAGTTTGGAGTGCAGTCGGACCTAGGCCAGAGTGACAACCCCCAAGAGCATGAGGACATCCGTCGGCCAAAACCAAACAGAACATCCAAGGGCCCCCTCCCCAGGATGCACAAGAGCATCCAACAGACACGAAGAACACGAGGATACCCTCCCCGCACCGACCTCGATCTTGTCGGGGAAACGAAAAGGGTACCCACAACGCTACTCCCTGGACCTCTCCCGGGGTGCGCTCTGACCCGAATTTCGCAGCGAATCCGGAGGCCGAAAAACAGACAAGCGGCCGAATTGGGTAGCGGTACGACGACCTTTTCCTCGTCCCCAGACCCCGACGTCATGATGTGCATTACGTCGACCCCTGAAGGTCTCGACCCATTCCCCTGGACCGGTTTTTCATCCTGACGGTCCGCCTGCAAAGCATGTCTGCAGTCGATATCCCCTGCTCAAGTCCTCGAGGCTGTTGCAGAGCCGCGAGATCGTCTCCCGGCAGCGGGCCAGCACCGCGTCGGGGCTGGAGCGGCGGCGGCAACGCGTGGAGGAGGAGGAGAAGGAGGAGGAGCAGGGGGAGCAGGAGGAGGAGAAAGAGGAGGAGGAGGAGGAGGAGGAGGAGGAGAAGGAGGAGGAGGAGGAGGACGAGGACGAGGAGGAGGAGGAGGAGGAGGGGGCGGGCGCCGCGCGCCCGTTCTCGCCTGGGGGTCGGCCTCTCGCCGCAGACGCGCGAGCAGGGGCTCGACGACAGCCAGTCCGTCGAAAAAGGACGCACGAGAAGAGTCCCCACCTCATCCCCCTCGTCCTCCTCCTCCTGCTCCTCATCATCATCATCGTCGCGCGTCCCGAGGCGCCAGGGGCATTCCACAAGTTCACAAAGAAGAACATCGCTGTAGCAAGTCTACCTCTGAAACAGAGGGTCAAACACACAGCACTTTATGGTTGGCCTTCCCCAAAGCAAGGAGGGCAACATGCACGGGAAGGTATGGAGACAAGGTCAACATACGCAGCGCAAGAAATGAAGACAATGAGAGCGTGAGACCTGCATGTCAAGAAGCGCAGCACACTACAGGAGGACAGTCACAGCAGCAAGCAATGTATGACTCATCAACACAACCTGCAAGGGAACGAAGTAAAGAAGACACGACAATTCGCATGACAGGAATAAGAACAACATAGGCGAAAAAAAAGCAGCATGTGAGCAAACCGGTCAAGACTTCCTTCGCAGAGACAAAACGTTGCAAGGTGAACAAAATAAGCACCGAAGAATAATACATGTGTGGCGGGATATTCACCAGTCAACTGTTACATGAGAAACGGCAATTTGTGAACAATCCTACCAAGCCGAAAAGTGTGGCATAATTCACAACGATACAATAGCAACGTGCACGCGATTCAAATTGTCAACAAGCCAAACAGGCCCATACAGCTCCTCGTTGCAGATGCTACTGCTGCTGACAAGTCGCGTCGGTGGGCGGTCCAATGCCCTGCAGCCCATCACCATTGGCACGAGAGGTAGCAGAGGGGGCAGCAGCTGGGATGTGCCGAAGTGTCGGCGCATCGCGAACAAACTGTCGATATTCGGCGCTGTCTAACACCTGCATCTCCATGAGCTTTCTCTTGAACGGCTGGGGCCGCTTACCAGAGTACGTAAAGGGAGCAATTGTGTCCGCGTGCATTGCGTGGAGGAGCTTTCTCTTGAAAGGCTGGGGCCACACACCAGTGAAAGCGAAGGGTGCAATGGTGGCCGCGTGCACTGCGCAGAGCTCCACTACAGTGCTGTCCACCATCGGGCTGTGAGCCTCCCAAATGCATGGCGCATATCCGCTGGCCCCCAGTAATCCACCCTCAGCATACTCCGAACCGGGGGGGGGGACCCCGATCTCGGGTCTCTCGAGCAGCGCCTCCAGCAAGCCTGCGGCTGGGCAGTCCTCACCCTCAGGGGCCCTATCGCCCAGCTCCTCCATCGGCGCGTCGAGCAAAGGCCAGACACCAGGTGGCCGCTGCGGCCAAAAAGGAAGAGCGTCGCGTCGGAGCTCTCCTCGCACAGGCGCATGGTCCACCGCCTTCGAACGCCTCTGGATGGAGTTGAACTCTGTCTGGGATGAGCCAGCCAGGATGTCGGCGCTGATGTCGAAGACGTGCGAGGCCGTGTTCTGCAGCTTGGAGGGTGTGCGGCCCTTAAGCGCAGCAGCAATGACGGGGGCCACGAGCTGGAGGCGCTTGGATAGCTGGGAGTCGTCTCCAAGCACCGCCCTGAGTTCCTCCAGCTGGTCCATCAGCACCGCCTTCTCGCTCGTGAGCTTCCTCACAAAATTGTCTGCTGCTGTCACCACCCGCGCGCGCCGCGCGCGCCTGCTTGCCGCGCCGCTCTCCATGTCTCGCCACGCACCAGGGGCGAGTCCCGCTGCCATCTTACACCCAGCATCCGGCGCCATGAGCTAGCACATAGAGCCAAGATGTTGGGGGTGCCTGGCTTGAGCCAAAATGGCTTGAGCCAAAATGGCTACGGTCCCTCCTCCTCCTCGTCCTCCTCGTCCTCCTCGTCCTCCTCGTCCTCCTCGTCCTCCTCCTCCTCCTCCTCCTCCTCCTCCTCCTCCCTGCCTCCTCCTCCTCCTTCTCCTCCTCCTCCTCCTCTCCCTTCGCCCCTATTCCTGAGAAGCACAATCAAACTCGTCGGATGAGGACGTACGATCAAGATGCAAGGGTCTTGGAAGGCCGTACCGGCACTATGCGAGCGGGGCGTGGCCAGCGAAAGCGGCCACGGATAAGCCGAAGGTGAAGGATGCAAGGGTAACCTAGGAAAGTCGTTCATCCTTCCTATGTGGGTTGACTCTACATAATTCTCGTCGGGTCATACGTAGAATGTTCGTAGATCTACGAACACGCTACGCATGCCTCATGGCGTCCACGATCAAATCAATTCTGGGGTAAATCCATTTGCTCGAGGCATGTGGGGCGATCGGGGCCCGTGCCGAGACCCCCGACGGCATGATTGTTTCACAACGGTGAAATCGAGCTCCCGTGAGATCCTGGCGATGCATTTTTTCACAACGGGCGTTCTCGCCAAGCTTCGGGGCCCAGAACCCTTACAGATCGATCCTGCTCGAAAAATGATGCAGAGAGATTGGGTCTAGGGCTCTGGTCGTGGTGTTCCGCGTTGTTTCAAACATTTCGACGTCGGATCTCAGGATCTGTCGGGGGACGAATACCGCGGTCTCCCAGCACCGCCGCAAGGGGTGGCGTCGTCCGACATGCATCGAAACCCCCACGGAAGCGGAGCAATGCGAGGCTGAGGAGGGTGAAGTGGGGAGGCGGGAGGCGACATAGAGAGGGAGGTCGAAAGAGGGATGAAGGAGGGCGAGGAGGGGGAGGGATGAGAGAGAGAGGTGGGAGGGCTAAAGAAAAAGAGGGAGGAAGAGGACGACCCAGGCCCCCGATCTTCTTCCATCCTGAGTCGTCTTTGACGGCCCCTCCGATCAAGGTCTGGACCCCTTCCCTGAGGTTCGGACCCCTTCCCCAGACATGCGACGTCCTGATTTTTTCAATGCGGAGTCTCTGAAGCCGCGACCCTCTCCCCGGGCCCGGTTTTTCACCCCGAGTTGCTGTTGACGGTCCCGAGGCCCGGCGAGGGCCCCCCGAGGCCAAAAATTGGCCAAAGACCTCCCGTCCTGATTTGTTCGACGCGATCGTGTCTGGGTCTGAGACCCCTTCCCTGAGGCTTGGACCCCTCCCCCTTCCCAAAGTCTGGGCTCCGTGGGCCCGCGCTCCCTCCCGAGTCGCGTTTTTGATGGGCCCCGGGGCATGATGGCGAGAGCCCCTATAGAGGCCGAAGACTGGCAAAACCTGCCATGATCAAGGATGCTCCTCGATGGCCCTCGCCGAAGGAACAATGCGCACGTCCGAGCGATGCCAAGTGGTGCTCCACCCACGGGCTCTGCCCGCCCGCGTTGCAGCCGCCGCGGCTGGCGCCCGAGCACCCGGAGGGCGTCCACGGGGCCCCCCGCGAGGTCGCCGCCGAGACGTCCAGCCCCGCGGGCATGCCGCGGGCATGCCGCGGCGCCCGCGGCGGGGGCGCGCCCGGCGGGCCGCGGGTGCGGCGGCGAGCCGCGCCATGCGCCTGGCGCTGGAGCGGCTGCGGACTCTCAAGCGCCGTGGCCCCTCGGTCCTCGAGCGCTGCGTGCAAGGAGAAGGTCCAGAACGCTGAAGGACACGAGGAGCGGTGGTGTTAATATGGCTACGGGCATGGATCTGAAATGGCAGGAAACAGAAAACAGACAGGAGGGAGGAAGGGGAGGGAGGAGGTGAGCTCCTCCCAAACTCTGTTTTCCTCCTCCTCCTCCTCCTCCTCCTCACCCTTCTGCCCCTTCTACTCCTCCTCCTCCTCCTCCTCCTCCTCCTCCTCCTCCTCTTCCTCCTCATCCTCCTCCTCCTCCTCCTCGTCGTCCGCCTCGTCGCGCCACCTCACGTATCGGTAGGACGGGTCAGGCGTTCGGACCTCTACGGTCAAGGCTCGGATCTTGGCGTCGCATTTTGTTGACAGCGGGCGTTTTCAGTGTTGCTCGGGCCTGGGGACCCTCACAGATCGATCCGGCTCAAAAAATGAAGCAGAAAGATGGGGTCTAGGGCTGTTGTCGTGGTTTTTCAATATGTTGTTTTTTGTTTTTCGAGACGTCGGATCTCAGGGTCCACAGTCAACCCATATGGTAATAGATGCGCGGTAAGGATGCGACGGCCTTGGGCCCATGCCGAGGCTCTTCGAGCAGGGCTGGCCACCGCAAGTGCTCGACGACGGGCCGGAGACGACCGAAGAGGCAAGGATGCAAGGGTACCCTTGGGAAGTCGATCATCCTTACTATGGGGGTGGACTGTATCCTCGATCGGAGGTTGCTGAAGGTGTCCCGGGCCCAAGGTGGCCCTGGTCTTTCGCTCCAGTCTGGGGCCCCTGGGGCCCCTGGGGCCGCGTGAGGGGTGGCTGGGAGCAACCTGCGCCTCTGGGGACACCAAGATGTACCGATACCGCTTCTCCCCAGACCTCGCCCGGGGTGCGTGCTGACCAGGATCTCGGAGCGAATCCAGCGGTGGCAGCGAGGGCCTCCCAGGAGGCCGAAAAAGGGGAAAAAGGGCGAGGGGTGGAGGTGTGGGTACCTTTCCCTCCTCCGACTCTGGGAGCAACTTGCGCCTCCCTGTGGTCGGGAACTTTTGAGGGGGCAGCGCGTCGCCGCGGCGGCCCAAGCGGCACAGCGTGCCCCGCGAGCGAGCAGGCCGCCTCTGGGGGCCCCGCGGCAGGCCCAAGGGCACCGTCTTTCCCGCCGCTCGGCGGGGCAGAAGGCTCGGGGAGGGGATCGAGGCACGGCCGCCTCTGGGGGCCGCGGGGTGGACAGCGTGCCGCGCGCCGAAGCGTGGTGGGCCAGCGCCGGCGGAGAGACACGCTATGCTTCGGAGGCAGCTCCGGGGGGCCTCCCACGGCATCTTGTCGGCTCTTGCTGGTCGACGCCAGTCGACGCTAAGTCGGCGCTAGTCGACGCTAAATCGACGCGAAATCGGCGCGCTGTCATCGATTCCCAGACACTGATCGACGCTAGAAACGGACTTACGAGGGTATATCAGGCTCCAATTATTTGCCACGGAACTACCAAACAATCTACAACGATTTTCGGAGAACCAGCGTCGAACCCAGGTCGAATCCATGTCGGGCTCGTAGAAGCCAAATCGAATCCACGTCGAATCCGCGTCGAGCCCACGACACAATCCGCGTCGAGTCCGCATCGAGACCGCGTCGGGCAGAAGAAACGACACCTTACGTCGGGGACGGACCAGGTCCCCCGAAGATGCAACGGAAGGGCTCAAGTCCTGCACTTGCTCCCCAGACCGCCCTGGCGTCGTACAGAGCACAGAAACGGGAGTCTGGCAGTTTTTGGCATTTGGGGGCCCTCGCAGGACCTGGGACCATGAACAACGACTCGCAACCATAAAGCTGGTCCCGGGGAAGGGGTACAGACGTCTTGGGGTCCACTTCGTGAACAAGCATGACGTCGGGGGTCTGGGTCATCCTCTTCCTCCATTTTTCTCGTTAGCTCTCCCACCTCTCCTTCATCCCTCGCCCTCCCCGTCCATCTCCATCCCTCTCTCGACCTCCCTTTCTATGCCGCTTCCCGCCTCCCCACTCCACCCTCCTCAACCTCGCCCTGCTCCGCTTCCGTGGCATCTTCGATACATCTCGGACGATGTCATCCCTTGTGGTGATGCGGGGCGACCGGGGCATTGATCTCCATTAATACTTGGTTCCAAATGTCCCTGGGCTTTGTCCTAAGAGAGCTGCCTGGCGTACTCGGGATCGGCATGTCGGCCGCCGTCCTCCCCGTCGGGATCCTGTCACGTCGAGTCCAAGAGGACGGCGGTAATTCCCCAGGCTGAACCACGGGCGTGCGTTGGACGCTTTTTTATAAAACAAGGAAAAACACACAAACAAACAAAATAAAAAACGCCCCCCCACATGAGGAGCTTCAGACCAATGGGACCGTCAAGCGACGCGCGGACTGCGAGCGGAAACTGCTCGACGGTCGGCCAACGACAGCGCCGCGCAATTCAATGCGAACGGCGCGCTGCTCCCGTGCTCGTTGGCGTTTAAACTTGACGTTTCCTTGTGGTGGCACGCGGCCAATGCTCAAACTCATTGTGGACATTCGCGCGCTCGTGCCGGGGCAAAAACCAATGGGCACGTCGGCCCTTGGCGGCGCTGGCAAGAGCCCCATGCAGCGCCCGGGGCCCGCCCCGCACAGGCGCGCATCGAAAAGCTTAGATCCACCCCAAAAACAAAGTTTAGGCACCAGGCGAAAGCAGTTCACATAAATTCCATATACCATCAATCTAAACCTTCCCGAAGCAGCTAGTCTCGCGCGGGAGTCCCAAAAAGTTTGTATGAACAGGAAACATGCGCTTATATGGACGCAGAAAAATTGGACCAATTGCCTTAAGAGAAACGCTCCCGATCTAAACTGCTCCGTCGGAGGAATTACGGGGGGGCGACGGAGGCGGGCGCGGGAGCCTTCGGCTGGGCCAGCGGCGCTGCCGTGCGAGGGACAGGTGGCCGTGGCGCGCGCGGCCCTGGGAATGCCGGCGCGGGCGCGGCCACACCGAGCGGGCCCCGGACGTCGCCGCGCGCGCGGGGCCCCCCTGCGGCAGCTGGCAATGATCTGGCCGACAGGGCGCCTACAGTTACGCTCATTCGCCGTAAATGCAAAACGGTGACATGTAAAATTGATAGTTGTGGTGTCTGGGGTCGGTTTCCCACTGTTCATGTATGTGCGTCGCCAGGGCGTGCCCCGAGACTGAGTCTCCAGTGCCTGCGTAAGCTCCATGTCTGAAGGCTGGGCATCAGCACCCGAGACCCTCCAGGGCCCAGGGCCCAGAGGCTGAACCTCCCTCCAGTGTCCACGCAAACCACCCGGAAATACTGACGGAGGTAGTCGTCGGTACTCCCCATGGCCGTTCAGCCCCAGCCTTGTCCTCCTCAGCTCCTTCCCGAAGACGCCTCGACATGAACGAACCCTTGCTAGATACGAAGTCGTCTCTCACGGAGCCTTCGCCAAGCGTGCTGCGCCCATCACTTCAGACGACTGCGCGCACCGTGCACTGCTGCCGCCTGCGCAGATGCGGCCACCTCCGGTCTCCAGAGCCAGAGGCTCTCGGCGCTTACTACCAGCCCCTCAAATGAGACTCAGCAGGTGCAACACGGCTTACGCTAGTAGAAACAGAAAAAGAGCCATGACCATAAACTTTTGGCGCTCCGCGCGAGATTCTTGGATCTGCGCTGGAACCCCCCTCCCTGAGCGCGCCAGGGGCGGCGCCAGAGGCGCCGCTGGGGGGGGCCCAGCGCGGATCCGAGAAATCCGCGCGGAGCGCCAACAGTTTACGTTTACGGCGTTTTTTCTCCTTGCGCCATCCGCCGCCATCCGACGATCTGCGCCAGGCGGAGCCGCCGCCGCCGCCATCTCGCAGCCGCCGGCTGCCGCCGCGGCCGGCTTCTGGCTTCTGGCGAGGGGCGGGCGAGGGGCGAACGGCGCCACGCGGGCTGCACTCCCGCCAGGGCTGCGTCGGTCGAGCTCAGATGCCCGTTCCCGGGGGAGCTTCCTGGAGCCACTCGCTCCACGCATGCGTCGACGCTGCGTCGGGACCTGCGACGACTTGGGTCGGACTCGAGTCGAGCCAGAGTCGAAGCAGAGCCGGACCAGACTCGAAGCAGAGTCGAACAGATCCGTTGGGAAGGCCCCCAGGGAGGTTCCCAAGTGAGCATCTCACATCGAGGGTCCAGGCTGCGAGGGCGGCTCGGCACGCGAGCGCTGCCTGGAGCAGATGCATCGACCGAACAATCGTATAAGAAGTCTTGGGGCACATTCTTGGTCAATATTTGGGGGCCCTGAGGTGCCCCAAAGCTTCCCTGGGCCCCTGGGGTGGTCGCGGGTCAGGGAACTTCCGTGGGGCACCTGCTGACAATTTTTGAAAACCGAAAGGTACCGAAACCGCTGCTCCACGCACCTCTGCCGCGGCGCGCTCTGACGAGAACTCCGAGGCGCGCCCAGCCGTGGCGACGAGGGCCTGTGAGGAAGCCCAGCAGGGCGAGAACGAAGCCAGGGCAGCAGTATTGGTACCTCATCCTCCTCTGAGGCAGGCCGATCGCTTCCATGCCGTGCCAACTGTGTGTCGAAGGCCCTGGGCGCCAGGGCGGCTCAGCACGCGAGCGCTGCCGGGAAGCCGAGCGGACGGCACCCCCATGGGCGCAGGCCGCGGAAGCGCCCCGCCGCCCGCCGCGGAAGCCCATCGAGGCCACAGCTATCTGGACCTACCAGGGACATCGTGTAGCGCACTTGCGAGTGCCCATGCTCAATGCAGACACGTGTGCGTGTGTGTGTGTGTTGTTGTTTGTGTGTGGCGTTGTGTGTTTTGTGTTGTTGTGTGCTGTGTTATGTTGTGTTGTGTTGTGTCGTGTCGTGTTGTGTTGTGTTGTGCCGTGTTGTGCTGTGCTGTGCTGTGTTGTGCAGGTTTGTGTTGTGTGTGTGTGAGAGA